TTTTTTTTTTTTTTTTTTTTTTTTAAAAAAAAAAAGGGCGTATTTAAATGTATTACAGTTGCACAGCAGCGATTTACAAAATTATTTTTAATTTAGGCAAAAACAATAAAGCGTTCAAGAAGTCAGCTGATAATCACAGAAGATTATAAATTTCAAAGCTGTGTCGATCATCAACGCCAAAATTATATCATTATACTATACAGGTACTTTATTGAATTTGAAAAACACAGTACAGTCAATCAATATCATTATCAGTAACAATATGTATTAAAAATTATAATTAGAATCAATCACGTTAAATTATTTATTTAGGTTGAAAAATTTTTAAAAAATGTATTGTCCAATTAGTTTTAATTACTATAAATCTGTACAAAAAATTATAAAAAGAAGTAATTTCCATTATTATTATGTGAAGAAAATTCGTATTAACGAATGAATCCAGTTATGATATAATCATCATTAAAGTAGGTTAAGATTATAAAAATTTCAACTGTTTGTAAAATAAAAATAATTAATGTTATGACAAAACAATAAATTAAAATTTCAATCTATTATAACATCATTTTTCCTAATATAAACCCTAATAACATGAATTATTGTAAAAACAAATTGGCATTTAATGACATAAATATTTTCTCAAAATTCAAAATTATAAAAATTTAATAATGACAAGGTAGTTACGTTCAAAGATACTGTAAATTATCTTAAATAAATCAGCAAGTTTCCTTTAAAATAATTGACTGCGTTATTACTTATGGAAAATATTAAACTATAAAAATTTTTTTTATATTAATAAACGAAATAGAAAGGAAGTTATTTGAAAATATTATAACTTTGCTTAAGCAGATAAATAGGAGGGGTTGAGAAAATCCAAAATTTCGGTCAAAAATTTTTTTTATTGCCGATCATGACACGTGAATAAAGTTAGCTTAATAATCAAAACAAGTAAATGTTATATAAATATGACAAGGAACTTATTGAATAGTAAAATTTTATTATTATTTAGATTTGATATTCTGAAAAAATAAAATTTGAAGTACTAATTGAAAGATAAACAAAATCTGCTGAGCACGTATAGGTTACTTTTATATCAATTATTAGCTAACAATATTTGCAAAAATAAATAAATAATCCACAAATCATAACTAAAATTATATAATAAAAAACCATTTAATAAAACAAATATAATATAATATTAATAAAACAACTGAAACTAATATAATGTAATATTATACAATTAAAAAAAAAAACTTAACCTAAATTTGTACAAAATTAGCGAAACCCGAATCACTGGTTATTAATAATCAATTAGGGCGAATGATCAACAAGTCACTGCGACTTCGCAACACTAGTTTGATTAAAAAGAAAGATCCTGGATGATATTATACCTTCTGATAAATAAATTCTTACTAGATAATTATTTATTAATAGAAAAAATTCTTTCAAATTTTCATAAGCTAGTTAGCTTAGAGTCGCTATCCCACAATTTTTGCAAAGGAAAAAAAAGCTACAGTATATGGATAGGGTAGGTCGTCATGCTAAATATCGAACGTACAGTACTGAACAAAAAGACACGTTACGACGTTGCGTATATGTATAGTGATTTCCTTTTTAGGATGTTTGGCATTAATTATCTAATTATGTATGTATTAAATCGCTTTTAATCTTATTAGTAGTGTTATGACAAATTAGTCAAAATGATACTTATTACTTTGATATTAATAATAAATGGACGACAATATTTGATCCTTTAGTTCCTAATAATCTTATACAATCGTCATCTTCCCATTTTTACTATCTTTACGACCAACTAATCCTAAAAATTTATCAAGAATTACTCCAGCAACTATGACTGATTTGGCTTTATATTACTATCATTTTGAAGTTATTTTTTATATAAATGGATAAAAATAAATAAATCAAAAACATATAACAAGAATATTAAAATCAGTTTTTAAAAAAAATTGTAGTTTTTCAGTAAGCCATTTCTTTTAAAAAAAACAAACATAAGGTTTTTTCAAAAAGTCAACTTCTTTTAATAAGAAAAATCGATAAGCCAGTTTTTATTAAGATTGGCTTTTTTATAAAAAAAACTATAATAACTTGATGTTTATTATATAATAAATGTTTTTAAAAGTAATCTCCTTCAGATTGGACTAAATATCATATAAACCTAATATTAAACAAAGAATTTTTTAATAATTTTAATATTAATACCTTTAAACAATTATTTATTTAAATATTCTTTTTCATATTTTGGATTTAAATTATTGATTTTACCGTTATATTTATAATTTTGGGTATAACATAAAATTCATTTTGTTAATGATTTTTTATATAAAAAACTATTATAATTATAAACTATCAGTCGCCTGTTAGGATCAATACATATAAATAAGCGGAGATATGAATAAAAAATCTTTATTTAGAATATTGACCATGAAAAAAATTTTTTATTTTACAATTAAAAATATTTGTTTATATAATAAAAATGATAAAAATAATTTCTATTTTGTACTTAAAAGTATAAACATCGGAAATAGCGCGTGGTTTTTTAAACTTGTATAACTCTGCTACAGAAACAATCATGTACAGTAATAATGTGATCATATGATTCACGGATTTAATTTTTTATATATTGCAAAAAAAAAAAAATTTTCCAGGAAATGAAATTCTTTTAAATATATTATATTTTTTTTAACGTGAATACAAATTAGGGATAAAGTTTTAGGAGGAAATTTAATAAAATATTTTTTCATTATTTTTAAAAGTAAATCACTTTTCTGGAAAAAAGTAACAAAATGTTAATTATTATATATGTTTTTGACGTTAAGTGAAATTTATTACAGCCGTTTTCAAAATGGTTGATGCTATTTATTCATGATTAAATATTCAAATACCAATATTCGTCCGGTTTTCGTCCATTATTTTTCTGGGTTTTCATCCGGTTTTCGGTTCTCATTTTTTTTCATCCAAACATAACAGCATCAACCATTTTCAAAATGACGATAATATTAATTACACTTGTGAAAGGAATATTATTTTCTTTTTCATTTTGTTTTCTAAATCATGAGTTGATTAGATAATCGCATAATATTAATACAAAAAAAAAAGAAAGAAATTGAATAGTAAAAGCCATTAATTTATTCGTGACTTTATTAGTAAACGCGTTTAATATAAATAGTATCCTCAGTATTTAGTACTTCCTGCTAAATTATTCTATTTTTTTTTAAATTTCAACATATTAAATATTAATACGTTAAAATAAAACTTAATTATCTGTTATATATATAATAAGTGAACTAATGTTAAACTTGATGGTCGAACTCAACACAAATTTCACTCCTAGCCTTGAGTATACGGAAAGTGAGTAAAGTAGATTGACTATGTGAGTAACTTAAATCACATGCTTATCTACGTACTCACTAAAAATATAACGATAAGGTACATAACGTAATCCCTCATCAACTAATTCAAGACTCGTCATTTAAATCATTTCCTTCTTGATTAATTTCAATAAGATCTATTATTAAATAATTTATAAAATTAAGCGAGAATATTATTAATAAAGAAATAATTTCCTACAAATAAATTATTTTACCTAATTCGCTAATTTGAACATCAAAGACATTCTTGAAATTATAAATTAAACAATATAGAGATAAAATAAAATTTGAACTATAATTACAATAGTACAGCAACCGTTTTTATTAATAATGTAAAATAATAAATATTAAAAGTCATAATTAACATCAAACATTTACCTGAATTAAATTGAAATGATGAAAAATCTGAAGAATTTATTGGTTCCGGAAGATTTTTGAAATTTAAAAGTCTACTGGCATAAATTGCTTGAGTATAAGTTTTAATACCTTCAGACTTATTTCCATTTGATCTATTTTTCAATTTTCTTTTTCTGATTTTATCTTATTCTTCCATTTGAGAACGGATTTCATCATCTTTATGTTCTTTTTCTTCCAGTTTCTTTAATATATGATATAACTCCTTAGCATTTGGTCTATTTTTTGCTTCAGCATCCCAACATTTCATAATTAAATCCACAAGAAATTTTTGGAATATCTTTAGAAATTTTCGGTCTAAATCCTTTACATATTTCAACAGCTAAAGTATAATCATGGGGAATATTATTAAAAGGAATTTCTTCAGAACGAAACTCATTCATAATTATTTCAAATGAATAAATATCAGCTGCTTTTACATATTGATATCCACGTAAAACTTCAGGTTCATATAAGGTAATACTCCATAAACTCCTTTTTTATCTGATCTTTCTTCGTTATTTGATAGTTGACACATTCCTAAATCACTTATGAATATAGCTGACATATTAAATAAAATATTATCTGAATGAAAGCCTTTATGAACTTTTTTCAGCATTATGGATATCTAACAGATCGCTTGCAATTTTTAACAATTTATTAATTTTGTTGTTAATATCATTTTCATTTTTCAGGCTTATTTAGATAAAAAGTTCTCAAATTTCCATATATACTTGAGTTATTCCATAGCAGAAAACAATATCCCAAACATAAATCGGTAGATGAGATTTGATCTAATTATAAAAATTTTTTGAAAAGAAATAAAATTTATTAAAAAATAAAATAACCAATTAAAATGTATTACAAAATAAATTAATTTTTTATTTGATTACCTATTATTTAAAAAATCTGTACTAATATCCAAAGAATTATCCAAACTTTTTAATGCTAATTTTTATCCTGTAAATCTGTACCATTTTTGATTTTCATTATTCCAATAACTAATAAATCCTTCAGGCCATTCAGCTGAATAAATTTTACCGAAGCCTCCTCTGTAAATATAAGTAACATTTGTAACATTTTGAAATTTCCCAAAATGTATAAAAGGTATCCATTCAAGACATTTTATATTATGTAGAGCATTGAGTTGTGAATGTTGTATTAATTCATCAATATCTTTATTTCCACTAGTCCAATTTTTAAATTTCTTTAAAATCTTTGTGCATCACAAGGTTGACACCAATAACTTCCTGTGCCAGGTTCATTACATACTCCACATATACCATGTACTTTTTTTCTTTTTTCCAAGTCTTCCATATAAATTACTTTATCATCAATCTCTTCTGATAGGGTACTAATTGAATCAACAGAAGAAATTTTAACATGTACATTTGAATAAAAGAACAAAAAAATATATTCTTTATTTATTAAACAGTTAAATCATATTATTTGTAATAAATTATAAAGTGAAATTACATTTACCTGATATTTATTAAGATTGACATTTTTCAATAAATTTCTTTTCTTTATATAATTTATTTGACACTACTAGCGTCTCTTGACCTGAATATTTTTTTCAACAATTCCATACTAAACCCCGAGCTAAGCGAGCTATACATAAAGAGGTAGGGTAAGGGTTTGCGTAGAATTGACCGAAATAATCATGTAGATCTTTCCTTTTATAGATAATACCGGCCAGACCTGACTGGCATTATCATAATTCCGGCCCTGAAAAAATGCGTAGAGCTAATAGTAATTTTTTTTTTGGCAGCACCTTACCTCTATATATAAAGCTTGGGGTCCTAGTTAACTACTAATAACAATAATTTTAAATATATAATATATACTATATTTTATAATGTATATACCTTAGAATTTATAAAATTTACTTTTATTAACGGAATTCACGGAAATAAATTATATTTATGCATGACAGATGTATTATGTAAATCCCATGTTTACACAATTTTGTCAGGCGTTGTTAATTGATTTCATATTTTGATACTCAAAACATTAATATTTTGTGTTACATGATGGCTGAATAAATATTTTCTGTTAAAAAAAAATAATAATGTGGCGCGTAAAGAGTACAGTGACTGCATTGTATAAAAAATAATTTACAATATTTAAACTTAATATAAATAAAATGTATATAAATTTAATTTCCAGATTATTGTGCATATAATTTTTGCTATTTCATAAAAAATAAAAAATTTTTTTTTAGGTGGCTTCGTAAATAAATCGTAATGCAAATAATTTAATTTATTATTTTAAGATCCGAATATCAGTTATCCGATTTGAATAAATATAGAGATCTGGATGATAGCTGAACAGATCGTAACATTAATTTTTTTTTAAAAAATAAACTTAAAACATAAAGCAAATCTTTTCTATTAATCTATTATTGATCATAATTTGAAAATGTGACTCTTCCGAAGGAAGATACTATATCTAAATAATACGGGTAATACTAATACGGTACACAAAATATTTTGTATATCTAATACTATACAAGTTAGTAATAACGGGGTTCTAAATAGTGCAATATCTATTGATACAAATATTATATGAGCGGGTATTTTTATCAAAAAGTTTAAAATAAATATAAAAATTTGTTCATCCAATCTCAAAGACATAATACAGTAATATAAATAATATCTATTGTATGTACAACAATAATCAAATGATCAAATGATGAAAATCATTCATCGGAATCTCAAATTGTGATTATGATCAATAGATAGGCTTGTGTTTAATACTTTGTGCGCGCCGCGACCATAACAATAACTCAAAACAAATTTTCCCATGAAATATTTTCTATAAAAGCATAAAAAATTATTTTTTCCTACACAAAATTTCTTTTACACGTATTTTTTTTTTAAATACTTATAGTTTTGTATCTTAGTCTCTAACATTTATCAATAACTTGTAGCTTTTTTATTAACTCTCCGTTAAGAAACATAAATATCTTATGCTTTCGGAAACTCCTAGTCAAGCTGTTTTTGCCTATTAAGTTCTATTTAGAGATAAAAATTATTAAAATAACATATCCTAAGCAACTTCTAGTTAAAAGTGTCGTGAGTTGTGGATAGTTACCAGACGGTTATTCAGCATTTTTCTAAAAACCGAAAAAAACGTCAAGCCTGAAACGTCAAGCCTGAATAGTAGTTATTTTTAATATTTTGGTAAGTGGAAATGGCTAAGCTGGGATGTATAAGGGACAAGTGCACCTAGAGTGTTTTGGTTATCCTCCTCTTCTAGAAGTTTGGTTACCTTCAATGAGAATAAAAATATCTCAAGCTATGTCGCAGACTTCTGTATGTGGGGCCCGTCCTTTTGGTGGTTGGTCTCATGTCTTATTATCAATGTGACAGTACCTCTGCACGAGTTTGATCACTCACGATATTCGTTAATGTCAGTTGATAGTAGGCATGGGGGCTTGAATCTGTCTTTTCTGCAAAGCTTACTTAGAGTACTCGAGTCTTCTAACCTATTTTATTATATATTTTATATATTTTAGATTTCATTCTCTCCTGTTAGATTTAGCTTTTACTAGTAAGAATTGATATATTGTAAGTTTTTTTTGTAATAATTATAGTAAAATCCAAACTGTTTATTATTATAATAGTATTTGCTTATACATTGGTGACTTAAATTACAAAAAATTGTGATATAATAAGTTAATGTTGTTTGATTGAAATTATTATAAGTTTACTAAAATTTATATACATAAATATCTATTATATTCCTCACTCATGATTATATTGATCATATGATCACACATAAAATTAAGAGTATGTCAATTTTTACATGTATTATATACATAATTAATTTATTAATAATAATCTTATTAATAAAAATTTTTTAAAATATGGCACATTTTTATTGGATAGTGCGGTTTTTAATTTACAGTATGTGACGTTTACAACTAACTTGATAAATCACAAATTTTTCGTCCTGAATTTTTTTTATTTCTTAATACAATAAGAAATACTAATTTAAAATTTTTGTTGATGACTCACTTACAGAAATAAAAAATCTGAAGCAAAATAATATTAACTACTGTAGATATGATACATGAATTTATATATAATTTACAGTTAACTGCATACTATATGGATATTTTATATAAAAAATTATGTACCATTTAAATTTACGTATAATTTATTTATACTAGACAAATAAACATTATCATTATGCAAATAATTTTATATACTAATTAAATATATATAAAATTCTTTACTACATATTTTATTTAAAATTTTCATATAAACTCATATAGATTTATGTATTTTGTTTAATTTTAAATAAGTGTAAAAATGTTTCTTAGATATAACTTTGCACTAACATATTTGTATATTTTGGTTAGTCAATTTCATATAAAGTATACATTAAAATAATTAAAAAGTAAATTCCATTAAGAGAAACAAATGGATATTTGTATATTAAATTGCATGATATATCATTTCGATCAAAAAAAAAAATCCAATAATTAAAGAAAGAGCAAAAAGTCGTTGTTAAAAAAATTCTAAGAAAATAATCAATTATAAAATTAGCAAAATTGATGTTCAACTACAAAAATCAATAACTGAAATACCGCAATACATTTCATCAAAGTATACGAATTTACTAAATTAGTTCAAATATTGATGATATTAATTGGCTTATTGTTAGTCAATTACAATAATGTGTGACAATATCGGAATCACCACTCCAAAAACGAGATATAAATTTATACTCAATTTGGCCAAAGATACGCCACGCCTTTATTTTTTTTTTTCCTTCTTTTCGTTTACAATATGTCATGTTCAAAAATATTTTCAGGAGATTTACCTGAATTAATATATGAAATCATCAAAAATTTTCAGAATGATTATTCAACCTTACATTCATGTGTTTTAGTTAATAGATTATGGTGTCGTTTAGCGATTCCATTATTATGGGAAAATCCATTTTCAATTACTACCGGAAATTATAATTTTATTGAAGTTTACTTATATAATTTGAATGATTATTTAAAAACAAAAATTAATAATTATCAAATTATTAATAATTTATTACCTTCGAATACACTTTTCAATTATCCTAGTTTTATAAAATATTTGAACATGTGTAATATTACTCTTTCTATTGAGAGGTGGTTAGAAGCTAACAATAAAACTTCAAATGCAGCAGTATCCGAATTTAAAAGATTAATTAATATGTCACTAGTTAAATTATTTATTGAAAATGAAGTAAATTTACATACTTTTAAAATTGAGATAAACAACATACATTACTATGATACCATTTATGACATTTTGGAGATAATTTTACAAAATTTTAATTTCATTCATAATATTAGAAATTTAAACCTTTCTATTGTAAATAATCATTGTAAAAGTATGTTAATTAAAAATCGTATATCACAAATAATTAACTTACATCAAAATCTTAAAAGAATTTTATTTGGTAATAATACTAACTTATCTTTATATCAATCATTATTATTATCAAAAGAATTTAATTGTTCAAATACTTTAAATACAATCATTTTTTATTATGTCAATTTTAAAGATATAAATAATTTAGTTAAAGTATTTGAAAATTTAAATGTTTTAGAATCTGTTCATATTATTTATTGTAATTCTTTAGGTAGTTTTATTCAACAAATTACTAACTTAACCAAACCACTTAAACTAAAATCTTTATTTATGCTCATGGCTTTACAAATCGATTTATTACAATCATTATTACAAAAATATGGGAATTATTTAGAAAATTTCAAATGCGGGAGTTACGGATTTGTTCAACAACGGCACTTAGAATTAATTATGAAATATTGCAAAAATATCAAATTTCTTGACTTATGTGGAATTGAAAGACACATTACTTCTCTAATATTTGATTTGATTGAAAATATTAACCAAAATCTTAATTATCTTTCAATCAATGTAGGAGATTGTCAAAATGAGCTAATATTACGAAATTTAGGATTAATACTCCCTTCTAAACTTGAATATTTAAGTTTGGCTCTTCGCATGATTAATACAAATGATTTTGAAGTATTCCTAAAAGATTCTCAAGATACTTTCTTTAAAAAATTGTTAATTAATAATTTGATAGGAGGATATAGTGATGATATTGATATTTTACCCTATATAAAAGAATATATTATGAAGAAGAAAAGAGTCCAATATTTGGCAATTAAGAATACTTTATACAATAGGGTAGATGTAGATTTGTCTAATTTTAAAGATGAAGTGAATGAATTTAAGTTACATAATATTAAAGTTCTAAAATATGATAATTTATCTACTGATATTTATAGATTTGTAAATGAAATTGATTAATTATTTAGTTATTTAAAATATCAGATAGACATATTATTTTCAATTTTATAAATGAAAGTTGTTTTATAAATTATTACTTATCATAAAATAAATATTCATTATTAATAATAATATTTTTATTAATGACAATTTTATAAATCATTAATGTACTAGAAGGAGATTAAAATTAACTTGAGCTTTTGTATATTCTATTTTTATGCAACTACTAGAAAAAACTTTATATAAATCAATAAATAATTTTTAGTTAAAACTTTTATTGTAAAGTTATTAACTAACGGAATATCTTCAGCACTTGAATTAATTTAGTAAACTACTAGGCGTAACCCATCGCGTTGCGGCGGGGATGATACTTGCTCATCAAGTAAGGGAGTAATAAATAATAAATACTTATATTTGATTTGCCATGCAGTGTGAATAGGTCTAGTTTTTTACTATTATTATGATGGTATTAATAGGAAATAAGTGTAGTAACAATTTATATGATTATATAAATTGTGTGCGAGTGTTATACAGTATATGAAATATTACTATTAAATGCAAATTTTTATTTATCACACGAAACAAATGCTGTGAAATTTAGTATTATTTATTTATATATTTACAAATTCATTACAAAGACAATTTTGCATAGTAATTTATTGTTACATTGTTACAAAAAAATCATTTTTTTTATCTTAAAAAAAAATTTCCATTGTAGCATTAAAAATAATTACATCCTCTGTTGAAAAAAAAATACATATATATTGTTACCATATCTCAAAGAAATTCATTATAGCAATCTATTGTTATAGAAAAAAAAATATCTCACTATTTATATTTAAAAAAATTCCCAGAAAAACTAATTATAACGATCTCAGCAAAAATTTTAGCATGCGGATGGAATCTTAGAATCTAAAAGTAGTAACGGAAGATTCAGTGAGGAACCAATTGGATGGTCTGTGATTTACTGTGGGACAAATTGCGGCAACAAATTTATCCGAGGAAGGGATCAGCCATATGGGGATCAGTCATATCCGCAGTAATCACGTGAGAGAAGAGATGATGATTCTAGTTTCGACGGTAGCAATGTAAATAAATGTAGACAAACATTTGTTTTGTTCAAAGAAATACAAAAAGCTAACGTCGGGCAAGTGTTGTGAATGGACAAGATAATTATGGAGAACGCGCTTTTCGGGAAGATGTACGGGGCCTAGCCAACTATACGGGGAAAACGCTCTTTTCGGGAAGATGGACGTTTCACTGCGAAGCCTAGCCAACTCTACGGTGATTGTTTGTATGTTTTGAGAGAGAGGGTTTGGAATAGATAGGGTGTTAGGAAGACGTTTTAGTTTTGTCTAGAATTAGTGTAGTTTTTGTTGTTTCGTTTTTCTTTTGAGAAGTGTGAAATGCGTAAGGAAGGGTGTTTGTGATTAATAAAGTATCTATGTGTGGGGAGTTCGATGGAGTTTAGCATTGGCGCAAACGCTTGGTTAAAAAATTTGTTAAACCAGGAGTATAAATAGCTAGTGTTAAATTTCGTGTTTTTTTTTTGTTGTTGGGTTTAGTTTTAGTTTTCTTTTTGTATGTTTTTGTTTTGTTTTTGTTTGTAGTAGATAGATACTTTATTAGCAGATGCACGTCGTCTAGAACATGTTGCGTTGTTTCAGCGATCATCATGTTATTAATAAAGTTTTTTTTTAAAAAAAAAAAAAATTA